ATTCAAAATCCCCTTTTTTTTCTGAAATTTTTTGTACGAAACGCGTAATAGTAGCCCCCCCCCCCCCATAATACAAGCCCCCCCTAAAAATTTTGAACGCTTGGACAATTTAGAAGCCCCGGAGGCTTCTATTATGGGGGGGGTTTATGTAGTTTATTACGAAAAAAATTCCCAGTAACTTTATTTTTTTGAATATTTTCATTCAAACGATAGAATATCAGCGCAATTCGCTCATATATCAATAAATGGGAACTGCTGATTTATGCTTTGATAACCGTTACATTTTAGTGTCTAGGCTTCTTTACCTACCATATCGCGCGCTCATAAAGATTATGTAGTCACATGCATATTCCCGTTTTTGTTTAAACAGACGAAGGAGAACACGAAAACAGAAAAAGCTGAGACAAAAATAAGTTCTATTTCTGTTTTTTCTGTGCTCTTTCTTCTAAAAGAACTAATGTACGCCTGACTGAGGCATTCATCAGTTGATATAATCTGATGCAATGCAATCTTCTAGTCGGTTATTGTTAGATTTTCTTTAAAGATAGAAAACGGCAAAATAGAGAAAATTTCTGTAGATCACACTTTCATAAACAAAACGTTTTTTTTGGTGAAAATGTTCATAATTTTGTAGTCAAAACTTCAGTGGATAGACGTCTAACAACTTCCGAAAATTTAACTCAAATTTTTTAGATAGTTATTAAATGGGATAAGTAAGATGAGAAAACAAAATACGTCAGAAAATATTTTAGAGCAAAAAAGCTTCTCAAATGTCTCAAAGATAATTATACCAAAATTTAATGATTACTTATCACTTTATGAATATGTAGCAAATTGTATCACACAAAGATAATCCATGAACACATAAAAGACAGAGCCGAATAAATTTCATCTTTGCAGAAAATTGCAGAAGTGAAATATGTTCGGTTCTGTCTTGCATGTGTTCATGGATTATCTTTGTGTTACAATTTGCTGTATATTCATAAAGTGATGGATAATCATGCTAGCCCAATGAAAAGAAAATTAATGATTACTTATTATAAAACAATTCAAAAATCATATGATTAATTATCAAATTATATAATTAGGACAGTTATGTGACTATTGATATATAGATATAAATGAATTATACAAAAAAAGTAAAAAATGGACTTTATTACAGGCACAGTTTTATTTATTTTTTAATGTACTAAGTTGTTTAATATTTTCCATGATTGTTAAATAAAATGGGCTATTAGATGGCATACATTGTAATGCTTTTTCAAAATTTTGAATTGCTAAATTATAATTTTTAAGATAAGTATGAGCAGTTGCAATAGCAATATATGTTCTGCATAAAGATAGATCATTAGATGGTGAAACATTTAATTGTATTTGAAGAGCTTTTTCACTATATTTTAATGATTCATTAACATTTCCTTTAAGTAATAATATTTCTGAAATATTGCTATATCTCATGGCAATATTTGGATGATTTGGCGATAAATAAATTTGATCAATTTCTAATGCTTTTTCATAATATTTTAGCGCTTCATTATAATCACCTTTCATTTGATAACAAGATCCTAAACCATGATATACAATATTAAAACTATTATGATTAGGTGGTAACGAACATTTTAATGCTTTATCATAATAAATTAAAGCTGTATTATAATCATTTTTTAATCGATAACCTTGTCCAACATTACCATAAAATGAAACAAGATCACGATGATTTGATACATGATTATTAAGTGCTAATTCAAGTGCTTTTTCAAATGATTTTAAACTTTCATCATAATTCAAAAGTTGCACATAGGCTTTTCCGATATTATTGTATGCCTGAATAATAAGTGAATGATTTGGTGGTAAACAATTTAATCCTATTTTAAGTGTATATTGATGATTTTTTAAAGCATTTATAAAATCATTAGTTTCAAGATAAATATTTCCAATATTATTGTATGTAGTTATTAATTCAGGATGATTTGGTGGTAAAACTTTTAATTGAATTTCAAGAGCTAATTGAAAATATTTTAAAGCTTTATTATAATTAGCTGTCGTTAAATAAACTGAACCTGTTGAATTATAGGTACGTGCAAGTGATGATAAATCTGTAGGTATACATTTTAATTTAGTTTCAATTGATTTTTCACAATATTTTAATGCTAATACATAATTACCCTCGTCATAATATATTGCAGCAAGATTATGATAAGGACTTGCCAGTGCCTGATACGCATATAGGCCGCGTTTTTCTAATAAATTTATTGCTTGTTCCAAGTTTTTTATAGCCATTACGACATTACCTTTATGTTTACAAACTAGTCCAATATTATTATAAATTGTACCAATATCTTTATGATCATATGGTAATTGTTTTAATAACATTTCATAATATCTTTCTTCTTTATCATGTTGTCCCATTAAAAATAAAAATTTACCAAAAGTTAAAAGATCTGTTGTTTCACCAATTTCTTTTTTAAAATGATTAGTCAATTTAGTTAATTCTTTATCTTGTTTTTCACTTAATATTAATCCAATTTTCCATAATTTATTTGATAATTCTTCAACAGAGTCTATTTGAAAAACAGTTCCCATTGTAAACAATATTTCATTTTCAGATGGAATTGCACTTAAATGTGTTATATTAGCAAATGGCTTTGTATTAATATTTATATTAATTTTCATTTCAAATAATATTTTTTGTATATGTGGATCTATAGTACCAGCAAATGAGCAAGCAATATTTCTATCCATTGTTGTTGAAATAAAACTATTCATTGAAATAAATCCACCTATGTTCGTTCTAAGTTTGTTTAATTCATCATTAGAGTTCATTCACAAATCATGTCATCAATTTTGTTTTAAATACATGTAATCAGAAAATTATTCCCTTTTATTTTCTCTGACTACCATAGGAAAAATAGAGTAAAATTCTTGAAAGGTTTACCAGTTTAGATTTTAGATATTAGAAGTTGTATGATTTCTCGCTATATATAGTGTCGAAAATGGAACATTTCAATGACGTAAGGAAACATCATGTGAGAGACACGAAAGAGGTTCCAGGATGCTCTCTATTCCTGTCTCTCACGTGATGTTTTCTTACGTCATTGGAGTGTTCCATTTTTGACACGATATACATCGAAAAATCGTCCACTGTCAGTTAGTCAGTCAGTCAGTCAGATTGTTAATTTTCATGTGTGAATAAACCACCTCTTCCAAATTGTGGTTTCTGCTCGACATCGAACCCGATCTGAAGACGTGGCAAGATATATTCTCGATAAGATAAGAAGTAAAGATCTCGAAAATGTTGTACTTTGCAAACATAAATCTGGTGATCATCCACGAAAAGTCTTTCATAGTTTGAATGGCGCTTTATTATTCGATAAGATTCAAAGGTGAGTGAAAATGATTGAACAAATCGGCTCTATCAATCTGTCAAAACCATCAGGTCGTTCACGTACTGTTCGTACAAAAACAACAATATGAAAGGGCAAACAACGGTTGCTTAGAAAGAGCAGAGTGTCGGAAAGGAAGTTGGTGAATAAACTAAACATATTAACAAAGAACATTGGCCTCCTAATAACCCAGATTTTAATCTTCTGTATTATTGTATATAGAGCGTATTAGCCCAGGCAATGAGCTTGAGTAAAGTCAAAATAAAACTGATCTTGATTGACGAATTAAAACAAACTGTGAAGAAAACTAGACTGGAAGTTGTCACGCAATGTGTGGAAGATTTCAGCAAAAGAATATATCGCACTCTAGAGAATGATGTAGATTATTTACGTTACAGATGACGTAGTGCCGTCCACCATTGTAACAATTCTCCTGTGGAATAAATAATTTTGAAACCACTTAAGAAGAGAGTTAGATAAACCAGCATTTTTTAGTTTTATAAGTAGACCATCATGGTTAACTTTATCAAATGCCTTACTGAAGTTGAGAAAAGTCGCAACCAATGGAGAACCTTGATTGAAACTAGTCGAAATGTGGTGTACTATACGAATGAGTTGAGTCACTGTTGAGTGGTTTCGTAAGAAGCCTGTCTGGTTAGCGTGAAAAAACGCATTATTTCAGAGAAAACCATAAACATGATTAAAAACAATACGTTCAAAGATCTTTGATATAGAACTTAACAATGTAATTGGCCTATAGTTGCTTGGCAACTGAGCATCTCCATATTTATATAAACAGTGGACAAAACGTAGCTTTCAAGACTCAGGAAAAATGCCAGTGTTAAGCGAGTCATTGAGAAGAGTAGCTAATATCGATGTAATAGAAAGTGCTGCATATAACAACATTCTGTTTATGATATCAAGTGAACAAGATTTTGCTGTATCGAAACAACTATAAATGTTTTTAAATTGGAAACTTACAAATGATTCGAAAATTAAAATATACATTGTAACATGTATTCAAATTGATTTTAATTATTTATTAATAAAATCTAGTTTGATTTAATTTGCTGTACAAAGGTTTAGCAATACAATATATTGATATCTTATATAATCCACATTCTCTTTTCTTTCACATTCTTCTATATTATCAAAAATATTAACTTTTTTATGTACTGCTTCTATATTTGAGTGTATGTCATTCATTATTTTTTCAAACTGAAGAGGGAAGACGATTCTTCCGAAACGTTTTTGAAATAATTTCTGTTAATAAAATTTAAAAGGAAGAGTTTACAATCAAAAACTAACTCCACTTATCAGTGACTTGAAACAAATTTTATCAATATATATTTTTTGTTCAAATAAATTTAAATATGAACAATGGGCTCACAATTATGAAAAAATTCAAGGTGTTTTCAATGATAAAATACAACTTCTTAATAAATTAACAGAAAATGTAAAATCTTATACAAATACTTCAATATTAATAAGTATATTTAGTCCAAGTGCAAGTGAAAAATCAATTCATGATTTAAATAATGAAAATGCAACATTTATGTGGTTTCAGTTATTAATGGAAATATTATTGCGTATGCCACAAACAATAGAGGAAAAGTTTTCTATTGTTTGTGGTATACGTAATAAAAGAGCTTGGCATACAGTGCAACTTGTGTACTTCAAATTGTCTTAAAAACTGGAGACGGGTGCCTCCATATTTGTTAACTTTTTAACCTGTCAAGTTGATAGGATATATTGACATTCTTTGACTTTTTTACATTTATTATAAAGCTAAGTATATTTAATATAATTGAAAAACATTTTTGTAAAATCGTTTTACAAAAATGTTTAACAGAATATAGAGTAACTTCATAGTGATTGCAATGAACATTTTGATGAAAAGAAGAAATTTTCACTTTCTTGCTTTCTATATCTCTATGGGTAATAATAGAACGGATGCTTTCTTGTCGAAATACTAACTGTCAGAAAATTAATATATTCACTAGACGTTCATAGCAAAACAGGTCACTTTTCCTGGGGCTGGTTTACAAGAAAACGGAATGCATCAATCGATGGGGAATTTAACGAGGATCCCAGATATGCTACCCCTTTTTCCTGGACAACTCTTAGTTTTTGAGAAAGCAACGAAAAACTGTTTTTGCGTGGAAACTAGCGCTTTTTATTCTATTCTCCATATTTTTGCATATGTTTTTTCTTCTCTGATTCTCTTTCTTTTGTGTATTGTCGGAATGAACGAAAGAACGAAAAGAGAATAGCTGCATATATTTTATACTAAACGTTGATTTGTACAGCTATACTTTAGTGGGAATATTCATTTAGTCTTTTTGTATCCAGAAACCTTTCTACACTATGAATGCATAATCCGTCAAGTTAAACAATTAAAATATCACTAATTAGACAGTATACTTTTCCACTATCACGCGATCTTTAAGTACAGAATTTGAACATTTATGCTGAAATATTTTTCAATAAAATGCACCTCAGATTTATTAAGATGTCGAGCTGCCTATGTCACCGTTGAACACACGAAAAAATCATAATTTTTGTTTGTAATTAAGTAAGCTACTCAATGAGTTCTGGAATAAGGTTTTAAGGCTCTTTTTCACTATCATGACTTTCCGGCTTTCTCTTCGGGTCATGATAATCAGGCATAATATGTGTCTGATACACATATTATGTCTGATTATCATGGCCCATCCTTATGGATGTAATCGACAGATATTTGATGAAAATAGACTTTTTTCTTTTATATTAAGTCTAGAAAGAAAGTCGCTGAATATGTATGTTATGTACCAGAATAAGAAAAACGGAATAAATGAAGCACACAATATGCATATATACCCCTAAAACTCATTTCTTTTTGTGTAGGCGTGTGACTGATAATGGACTAGAGAATCAAAATCTCTTTAAAACTAAGAACCATGAGTGATACATATTTCTCTCTTCTTATACATATACGCACGTTTTTTTTCTTTCTTTCATCTATTGTCCATATAACGACAATGGATGACTCATCACAAATTCAAAATAAGTTAAGTAATGAAACAATGACCGTATCATCAAACAAGGATTTTGGCAAATATTATGGTACTGATGCGAACAATAAACGACTTAAGCGATATATATCATCGGCACAATTTCCACAAAATCAATCGAACGTGACAACAGCAGTCATAGGATCTACAAACAACCAAAGAAAATCACAATCACAAAAATCTGACTTTCCACCATTTATAGTCAAGTTTAAAGAGGATCAACAAGAAATAACAGACCGGAAACTAATTGATGAATTAATTACAGTTTGGAAAAATCAACATAACAAAGATATCAATATTACTGGTAGATTTGATCATAATCAGTGGCTACTGATATTTGCAAATGAGCCACAAACATTTGAGGATCTGCTAAACGAACAAAATTGGCCATACAAGTTGAACAATAGCGAAATATTGATCAAACAACCTCGTCAATTGCCTTCGACGTATTCACTAGTTATACAACAATTTCACAAAAATTGGAAAGAAAAAAAAGTTCTAGAAGAACTGAAATTACAATATTTATCATTAAAAAACTTAACAAGAATGTTCACAAAAGACGAAACTTCAATGAATATTGTCAGAGCGGATTTTTCAGCATTAAAAGAGGTTCAAGATTTACTAGAAATAGGATTAATATCAATTGGTCATCGAAAACACAAGGTTAAACAGTATTATGCACCAATTAGAATCCAAAAATACATGAAATGTTTCAGTCATGCTCATACTACAAATAACTGCCAACAAAGTCATCAAATGTGTATTAGGTGTGGACAGCAGCATGCATTTAATAATGAGTGTAAAAATGAAATTAAGTATATTAATTGTCATGGTGAACATTATGCTGGCCATTCCTCGTGCCCCGAAGTACAGAAACAAGAAAAGAAATCAGTGAAAGGTATAAAACCAAACGAGCGGAACCTATGGTTAGATTTGAACAACAACAACAAGAACATAATTATGGATACGACGATTAAGACTTTCCACCACTGAATACAATGTCATCAATAATGCCGTCAATACCATGCCTTGGGAAGTATTCGGCGGTTATAAGACAGCAACAACAAACACCCATAACGACGAACTATGAATCAAGATATGATATTGTATTACCCGGGACAAAACTGGTACAGGATGTAGCTGTCCAAATGACTTGTCATGCTCCAACCAAGCAACAATTAAGTGATTGGAATAATGAGATTGCAAAACTACTATATAAACGTCAACAATCACAAACAATAGCAGCGAATGGTCGACGAAATAGGATCTACCTCATTGGTGTCAAGAACATCCGCAATGAATCTTAATGGCACGGGATAATAATAATAATAACAGTAACACTAACAATAGACAAGATGAACTAAAATCTAAACTTTTACAGAAATCACATGGAATGTCAAAATTTTAAAAAGTTCTAGGCTGTTCTTCATTAGAAGAATGATGTCACTCGCGATTTAAAGAAGCTATCTTAGATAAGTGGCTCGAAGGACATAAACAAGCAGAGATAAAGAGTGTTTGTTTTTCTATCGTGCACTATAACATTCAGTTTTTCTACTCTAATCAGTGTGATCTCCTTAATGTCGCAAATCAGTATTCTCCTACCTGCCTTTCTCTGAATGAACTAGGCACAACTATTCCAGAAAGCATCCTAAAAAAATCTCTATTTTCGTATAACGTCTATACAAAAAGAGGAACGAACACACATGGCGGAGCGGTACTGGCTATTGACAGAAAACTAAGCAGTATTCAGCTTGACATCGACGAACTTAATGCAGTAGCTGTACTCGTCACAGTAAAAAACAAAACATACGCAATTGCATCGTTCTATTCTCCTTCAACAGATAATTTGCCTCTATCAGTCATGTCGTCTTCGAAGCGCTATTTCAATGACATCATTATGGTAGGGGATTTTAACGTAAAACACCCAAATTGGGGCTGCATTCAAACAAACAAAAAAGGAATAATCTTATCAGAATGGCTAGAGATCAACGACAATATTATCATTCACAATGTTGGGATGAAAACATCGCTGAGATCGGATACAACAATAGATTTAATTATGTCAACGGAACAAACATAGATAATTCAATGCCGTACACTACCATACTCTGGAAGCGATCATCTACCAATATTCACAGAATGCATAAATATACACGTTAACGAGATCATCTACCTTTTACCAAGACATACTGGGACGTCTATCAAAACTTATTAAGTGTATTACAACCAGACATTGAAAATGAAAGAAAAAATAAATAAAATCATCAGTTTGAATGGTTCAGATTTTTCCAAAAATTCTTAGACGCTCTGAAACATCGCGTAACCGTATGGCATAAAATCAAACAACAACGACCAAGCATCCCACTGGCATTGCGAATCTTATTAAAACACAAACACTACGTACAAAACAAATACCATCATTCAAAACTTGAAGATGATCGCATACGACTTAGTACATGGAACAAAATAGTCCAACATGAATTGAAAATCCATCGACAAAATAACTAGGTCAAATTCATCACAAATGTAGCATCACCTAATCCAACAATATTCTGAAAAACAGTAAAATGTGTAAACAAGAGAAAATCGACACAATTTTCAGCTATCACAAACAAAAACAGTATACACAAGACACCACAAGAAATTATTAAATGCCTGCAAGACCATTTTATATCGCGCTTCTCCGCACCCGTTGTTGACATGAATAATCTGAATCGATAAAGAAGTCACAGATCTATGGAACAAGTTCATCAAAGTCGAGCCAGCGGACATTGACTATGCGTATACAAATTCGGACTTAAAATTCAATTGTAAAGATTTGAAAACAACGATCGGAAAAATGAGTCCAAAAAACTCGTCAGGATTCGATAAAATCTCGAACAAAATGGCCAAGGCGATACCAGATCTCTTCTGTTTTTAAATGTAAGTTCATAAGTAGTTTTTATAAAATCTCCTAGTCATTGTATTAAATTATCTTTAGACTGACAGCGCCCAAGTGGCGAACCAGTCTTCCCGTTTTCTCTTAAATAAAGCTCTACACAAACAAACAAATATACCCCTAAAACTACAGATGAAATTCATTCAGCGAAAATAAAAGTGAGTGTAAGATCAAGTGAATCTAGAATGACGTCGTTTCAATTCAATACACTCTACGCTTCTGGTCCTGGTGGGGAATGTATTCAGTTAGTTCGTTGTATTGAGCCGACCGAACAACAACGGAATGATCCCAATTATTTGCCTCAATTAGCAGTTAATAAAGATGCTCAGCAGCGAATCGAATCGAATTTTCAGGCGTCCATATCCGTATTGGTCTTAGTTGGCAATATGGGTGTCGGAAAAAGTAAATTGGCAACATTGATTATCAATTCATTCTATAAACAACATTCCGAACAGTCGTTGCGCCTGTTTCGTAGTGGTGCAGGCGTGAGTGGCGTTACACGGGGGATTTGGATGTGGAGTGAACCGTTGGAACTTCCGGATGGATAAGGGTCAATTTTATTATTGGATTGTGAAAGAATGGGCGTTCTCGATGAAAATGTTGGCGCTAATCTCTATTTATTTTCCATGTTGACATCGACGTCGTTCGCTCTCCTCATACGGCCAGCTCGGATCGAACGATCACAATGTGAACGATTGTATCACGCTCTACTCCGTTTCGAACATATGAAAACACCTCAGGTGCTTCCGAATTTGTGGATTGTCGAACTGGAAATGCCCGAATTTATACAGAATGAAGCGGACGGTGACGATGTAGTGATCACAAAACAAGAGTGGATAAAGCAAATATTCGATGTCGACGGAAACAAACACAAAAAAATGACAGCATCCGATGTGAATACATTGAAACAACGCTACGATTACATTAATCGTATGTTAACAAAAAAAGACGCAATCAGCATTTCATTTATACCCGATTCGTTGAAAAAAGATCGTCAGGATCTCGACATTTGGAAATTACTGAATGACTCACGAGCACAAGAATATCAACAATCAGTATTACACACAGAAAACAACTGTTATCAACAGGTAAGAAACGGTAGTGAGAAGAATATATTTTCAAAAACCTATCAGCGCAGTTTCTGGCTGGACTAAAATATGGAACTCACGTAACTCCTTGGGAAAAGGGATCTGGTAACCAAGGAGTTGCCGTAACTAAGAATATCCTGTAAAGGAGACTGGATATCATGGGGAGGGGAGAGCCTAAAAGTTCGACCTTAAACCTGCATTTCATATTTTCATTTGTGAGTTCCACAAATTACGAAATGCTTTAGGTGGTAAAGTTCTGCCGAGTGCTGCGCATGGTCATTCTATTCGTCCAGAAGAATTTGCAAAATTAATTATGGAACTGGTTGATCTTATTAATAGTAGTCATATGCCAAATACAGATTCGATACTTGAACGTTATTTACGTACGAGATTTATGCAAGAAGTTGTTGCCGAACAAATACAATTATTCAAAAATGAACTTTATCTATATGTTTTGAATGTAATTTGTCCAGTAATTTATGATCTGAAACGACTGGAAACCGAACAGGAACGAATGCAGCTCAACGATGAACTAAATCGTGAAAGGAAACGTTTAACAAAATTCTATATAAACACAATGATTCAATTAGCAAAATCGAAAATATTCTTCTGTACTACTGATGTTTCTACGGGAGCGGCATCGGATGACACAAGACAATTACCAAAATCTATTCAAGATGAATTGGATGCAACTGAATGTTGTATGCATGAATTTGTCGATCCAGAAGAGCTACTGGAAGAACGTAGACATATTTTGAAATTGGTTGAAGCTCGTCGATTAGAAGAAGAAGCTCAGCCAATGCAGAAAATTGCCGAAGCCGAAAAGAAACGACAAAAAGAGCTGGCCGATCGAGAACGAGAGCGTGTTAAATGAGCAGCTGTATTGAACAGACAGATAGCTGCTGAATTACAACGACAAAGATACCAACTACTACAAGAGGTGAATGCCCAATCAATAGCATATGCAGCTGCAATAAAAGCAGAAAATGACAGAAGGGAAAAGGAACGGCTTGCCGAACAAGCTCGCGCACAAGCAGAAGAAATGAAAAAGAGAGTTGAGCGTGAACAAGCGGCAGCACAAGCTGAAGCGCATGGTCTTTATCGTGGTTGTGGTTGTCATGGCCTTTGTCTTCATAATCATTGTGTTTATGGTCTTTATAATCATTATAATGGTCAGTGCTATTCCATACCAAGGAATGGATACTCTTTTATGCCGTTTTCTATGGAAAAAAAATTCAAGTCATGATTTGTGACTTGACTTGACTTGAGGAAATTTTTGATGGCTTGATTTGACTTGTGACTTGGAAAACCCGTGACTTGCCCAACTTCGCCTCCCATGAAATTTTTGAAAAAAGGCTTCTCGACGCTGTCTCTTCTCAAATTATCATAGCGTAGTACACACGTTTTTTTACGAACTAATGGAGTTGGCCTGGTGGTATAGAACTCAAGTTTTAAGCAATAAAAACATCATATTCGGAATCAGGATTAAAAATTGGGTCGAATGGTGTGTATTTCGAAACTTTTAGCTGATTTTCATGTTTTGTCGAATTTTCACGTTGAAAAATGATCGAGATTTTCACCAAAACATGAAAATCAGCTAAAAGTTTCGAAATACACACCATTCGACTCAATTTTTGATCCTGATTCCGAATATGATGTTTTTATTGCTTAAAACTTGAGTTCTGATAAAGAAAATTGAGAATTACGAGCACAATTGAGAATTTTTCGCATCTTATTCAGAAAAAATGAATTTTCTCAGCAATGGAAAGGAATTTTAAAAAAAGCTCTCCGTACTTTTAAAGCTTATCACTTGGGCTATCTAACGGTATGTGAATGGGGGACCTATCCCTTAACCCAAAAAACTAGATAGATTTGCAAGCTGAGGGTATCGACCGCTGAGATTAGCCAGTTCTGAGCTCAGCCAAAGTTTCAGTTTTGACCAAACGTCATTGAAAGAGACCTCTCTAGAATCAGTTTTCAACGTAGTTGAAGGTTTCAACGAATTTGAAAACATTAATGAGAATAAGTAAAAACGTAAAGGAAAAAACTTGTGAACCATTTTTTGAAAAAGAACAGTTTTTAGCTTTTTCGACTTCGTCTCAGTATTTGGCATTTTTCTCCATCAAAATTTCATTTTTTCGAACTTAAAAGGTGATATTCGTGATCAGCTCGACCTGGCGATTCAGAATATGCATAATAAAGTCAAAAAGAAATTTCACTCTGAGTTTGACCTACGAGCATCTTATATAAAATCGGCTAAGATTAGCTAAAATTATTTAATCCCATGGTTTTTACGAAAAGAACTATTACATTTTTGATTCTTGATATGATTAATCTGGCCAATACACGCTATACGCTTGATCAAAAGCGTGTATTAGGACGATCTTTTCTTCGATATAAAACTGAATTTTTCTGTCCGAAAAATCAGTATATGTTGTAAAATCTCACATTTTTCAAACAGAACAAGCCTCATCCAACATTAATTATGATCCGATGCCTTTTAGATTTGCTTATGGGATCTCTCAAGGATACCACGATCATCTTTTCTGAATGTTGCAATAAGATAAATTATCATTTACTGTAGGTTCATTAAAAAAAATATCACAAATTCCGTTATATAAAAGACTTGTAGATTTTATTTTAGCATGCCCGAACAAGTAGTTATGATATAACACAACCTGGTGCTGAACTTGATGTTGATGGCTGTTGTGGTCTATAACGAGCAACTAATCTTGACATTGGTTCATAATAATAAGATTTCATCCATGATTGTGTGTATGCCATTATTTTATTAACATGTCGTGTACGACCAGCAATTACCACGGATTGAACAGCTAAAAGACTATGTTTTATTTGACCAACTTCATAAAAAGCATTACTGCTTGAACCACACAATTCCGGACTTTCAACAAAACATTTATCTTCAAATTCATCTGGGCTCAATGTCAAACATAAAACAAATACTAAATAATCTTCTGCATCTGATAATTGACGCCAGTTTTCATAATTACAATAACGTTGAATATTATTTTCATTATATTCGATTGTGTGACAAACACAATTCAAATAATACATACAACGTGCTATATCATTATTAGGTACATTTACCGAATTACCATAGCGCCTAAAATCATATTCGTTTTTTTGGTAATAAGCCATCTTCTAAAATTCTACAGTTTATGATATAGGTTTG